GTGGCGAACAGGCGTGTGAAACAAACTGTTGTTCCCTTCACTCTTCACCCTTCCCGTGGAGCTCAAAAGGGCATTAGAAGGGGAAGGGGTCCGGGGACCCCAACGGGAGGGGGGAGGGGCGAGCTCGCCAACGTACCCTGGAGAACCCCAGGACGCACAAACATCGCTCAAAGACGCTGCAGGCGTGCCCCCAAGCAGCCCAAGAAGCCTCCAAGGCGCCCGAGAGGCCTTTCACGAGAACCATCATCGTCATCATCATCGTCGGTATTGTCACCATCATCGACACCCATTTTGGCACACCCCTCACACGCTCCGTAGCGCCATAGGGAGCTCCACCTAAGGTTCCATTGGCGCCGCCCGCCATGGTGGCGCCGCCCCATTTTGGCACATCCCTCACACGCTTCGTGGCCGCCTGGGGAGCTCCACCTGAGGTCCCAGTGGCGCCGCCCGCATGGCGGCGCCGCCCAATTTTGGCACACCTTCACACGTTTCGGGGCACCATCGGGGGCTCCACCTAAGGTCTCAGTGGCGCCGCCCGCATGGCGGCTCCGCCCCATTTGGGCACACCCCTCACACCGTTCGTGGCCCCATAAGGACCTCCACCTAAGGTCCCAGTGGCACATTTTCGCATGGCGGCGCCTCCCCAGCTAGGTACACCCCAATCACGTTTCGTGGCCCCGTATTAAGCTCCATCGAAAGGCCCCAGTTGCGCCGCCCGCATGCGTCACCCCCCACCTAGTACAGCGATTCGTGGCTCCATAGGGAACTCCACGGAAGGCCCCAGTGGCACAGCCCGCATGCGTCACCCCCTAGTCAGTACAGCGTTTCGTGGCCCCATGGGAACTCCACCGAGGGCCCCAGTGGCACCGCCCGCATGCGTCACCCGCCCCCCGCACCATAGGACGCTCCATCGAAGGGCACCCTCGCCTTTTCGGGATTCCGACCCTCCCCCACGGTCCACGAGGCCCCCAAGATCGTCCGAAGACGGCCCAAGAGGCCCCCTAGAGCGCCCGAAGACAGCCCAAGGGAGCCTCAAGACCGCCCAGGAGAGCCTCAACGCAGCCGAGGAGCGCCCCAAGATGGCCAAAAGAGAGGCCCACGTGGCGAACTGACAGCTCCAGCTCTCCACTCCAAACGGCCCCAGGAGGCCCCCAACAGGCTTCGAAGGAGCCAAGAGAAGAGCTCGCCCTCTTGCGCCCTGCGCAAAGCGCCCCTCGGCCGCTCCGACTCCACGCTCCGCGGCGCGCGGGGGGCGCCCGTGGTCTTCGAGCCCCCCGCGGACCTCCCATAGAGACCTACTAGATGATGTCGGAATATATGGGGTCGAAGGATCGCGCCACATCGCCAATGCAGCGCCAATGCGTCGCCAATGCATCGTCAATGTATCGGCGATGCAGTGGCGATGCACCAACGTTGTCGGCGATGCATTGGCGTCGTCGGCGTGGCGAAAGAAGTCGGGCTCCGCGATCCCGCCGACGACCTCGGAATGGCGTGGCGTGGGGAGAGGGCGGGGGGCGCGCCGCGCGAAGCGCCGTGATCTCCGCGCCCCCGCCAACGACCTCGGAATGGCGGCCTTGTCTGTCCCGTCGCGCCCTTATCCGCATCGAATACGTGTCGAATCCATGTCGGACTCATCGAACCCGCGTCGGATCCACGCCACAAAACCGCACTGAACCCGCGTCGAGCCCGCATCGGTCGCAAGAAAAGACACCAATTTGGGGGACGCACGGAGTCCCCCGAAAATGCAGCGCCACAAACAGAATTTGGAAGCGGAAGCCGGGCGGCCAACACGCCAGAGCCCTGCGGGAGCCCCGCGCGACTGGCCGACATGCCCCGCACAATGGCCCGCGCCGTCGCCGCGAGAGCCTCTCGAAAGCCCCGCACGCAGCAAGAGCGGCGGAAAGAGATCGGGGGCGGGAGGCGCGGGCTGGCAGAGAAGGCCCACGCACTAGACGAAGAAAACACGCCAGAAAGATAAACTTTCGGCCCTCCGCGCGGATTTCATGGATCTGCGCTGGACCCCCTCCCTGGCGCGGAGCGAGCCAAGGGCGGCGCCGGAGGCGCCGGCCCAGCGCGGATCCAAGAGATCCGCGCGGAGCGCCAAAAGTTATGTTTATGGCGTTTCTTCTTCCTCGAGGGCGGGAGGCGCGGGCTGGCAGAGAAGGTCCCCGCCCGCACTTGGGGACACCAACAGGTGCCGGTACCGCGACTCCCCAGACCTCTCCCAGGGTGCGTTCTGACCAAGGCTTCGAGGCGAGTCCAGCGGTGGCGACGACGGAGGCCCAGGAGGCTCAAGAAGGGAAAACCGAGAGAGGGTAGCAGTGTGGGTAACTTTGCCTCATCCTCCTCTTCCTCCTCCTCCTTCTCCTCCTCCTCCTCCTCCTCCTCCTCCTCCTCCTCCTCCTCCTCCTCCCCCTCCTTCTCTGACGTTAGGAATGGGTACCTTTTTCCTCCTCCGAGAGAAGGTCCCCGCCCGCACTGCACCGCGCGGGGGGCGGGCCTCCGCTGCCGCGACGGCGCTGGCTGCCGAGGCACCTCCACAGCCTGGCGTCGGGAAGGCTGGTCTCCGCCGCTCTGCGCTCCAGGGCTCAAGAAGGCAAGGGGGGAGACGGGTTTACGCAGACAGATCCACCGCCTGGCGGGGCAATACCCCTAGACCCCAGGGGGGCGAATCATGTCGACATGTGGGGCTCGAAAACCCAGAATCAGCGTAATCCGTGTAGTCGTCATCACCAACATCATCAGTTCCAGCATCATCATCACCATCATCATCATCATCATCATCATCATCATCATCATCATCATCATCATCATCATCATCATCATCATCCTCATCCTCATCCTGATCCTGATCCTGATCCTGATCCTGATCCTCATCCTCCTCATCATCATCACCACCATCACCAAAACCATCACCATCACCATCATCACCAGCATCATCATCATCATCAGCATCATCATCATCAGCATCGTCAACATCATCATCAGCAGCATCATCATCAGCATCAGCATCACCAGCATCATCATCACCATCATCATCATCATCATCATCGTCATCAGCATCGTCGTAATCGTCTTCATTATCATCATCCTAACCACCACCACCACCATCATGAGCATCACCATCATAAGAATGATTGTCATCATCATCATCGTCGTCGTCATCATCACCATCATCGGTATCATCAGTATCATCGTCAACATCATCGGCATCGACATCGTCATCGGAATCGTCATCATCAGCAGCAGCAGCAGCTCATCATCATCACCAACACCACCGCCACCATCATTTGCCCCATCATTATCATCATAATCATCATCACCGCTATCACCATCACCATCGCCATCACCATCATCATCATCATCATAATCATCGAACTCATCATCAATATCAAACTTTGCTATCGCAATCATAAATCACCATAACATTCATCCTCGGCATCATCGTCACGATCAGCACCACCATCATCATCATCATCATCAGCATCACCAGGTTCAGCAGCAGCAGCACGAACACCATCACAATCACCACCATCATAAGCAACATCGTCACGCCCTATGTCCATCACGATATGCACATTACCCCTGGTCCACGTCATCCGCCTGGGCTCTCTCTCTCTCTCTCTCGTTCTCTCTCTCTCTCTCTTTTCCGATACGTACCCCTCCTCCTCCAACACATCCTCCTCACAACCAACGGCGTAATCACAATCGTACGCCTAATCATCACTGTCGCCGTCATGATTACCACAACCAGCATGAGAGCGTTCAAAAACATCATCATCGCCAACATCAGCATCACCATAATCACCATCATCACCATCGTCGTCCATCATCATCGTCATCACCACCGTCAACCCTGTCGAAATCAACACCGGCGACACCGCACCATATGCGTGACTGGCATCACCATAATTTTCAACACCATAATACGATCAACACACTCGCCAACATCGCCTCCATTACCATAACCCGCGATCGTCCGCCTCATCTTTCTTCTCCACCCCTTGCGGCCCTCCCCTCCCATACCAGCCCCCTTCACTACCATCCGTTGCCGTCATATGGCAATTACCCCACATCCTCCCCGCGTAATCAATTTCACCTCCAAGATCACCACCCGCATCATCAACGAGTTCATCTTCAACATCATCGGTATCATCGAAAACGTTACCGCCGTCGCCTTCGCCATCGCCATCAAAATCACCAGCATCAGCAACAATACCATCATCATACATACCACTGTCGTAACCATCATTGCATGCATCACCCGCATCATCGCAAACGTCACCATACTCAGTCATAGCCATCATCACCATCGTCGTAGTCGTCGTCGGCATCGCCATCTTCAGCATCACCAGCATCATCATCCGCATCAGCATCGTCAGCATCACCATCACCATCATCATCATCAGCATTATCATCCTCATCATCATCAGCAGCATCATCATTACCACCATTCAAACCAACAACAACATCATCATCGCAATCACTACTATCAGCATCAACAGCATCCCCAGCCACATCCTCAACATCATCGTCATCACCATCATCGTCATCACCATCATCGTCATCACCATCATTGTCCTCATCGTCATCATCACCACCGTAATCATCAGAAGTGTGATCGTATTCGTCATCATCAGCAGCATCAAAATCAGCAGCAGCCACATCATCATCATCATCATCATCAACATCATCAGCATCATCAACAGCATCATCAGCAGCATCATCAGCATCACCATCATTATCAGCATCATCACCATCATCATCACCATCACCATCACCATCACCATCACCATCACCATCACCATCACCATCACCATCACCATCACCATCATCATCATCATCATCATCATCATCATCATCATCATCATGGTAGCCACCACTTTTACCATCATCGCCACCACGACCTCCGCCATCGTCACCACTGGCGTCGGACGCTGCGGACGTCCTGGCCCTGGCCTCAAGAATGTTGGGCTCGAGCGACCTGATTGGCTGGCGCCCTTACGTATTTGTTTACGCTCCTCGCGCCTGTCCGTGGTTTTGTGGGGGTACACTACACGACTGGGAGGCCGCAAATGTTCATCTGATCCACAAAGTGGGATGGTGGTATAGGCAACGTATCTCTCACTTTGTGTTCAAATTGCTACCGCCATGTGTGTGCGTTGTGGTTGGACGATCTGTGTAATTCAGTGTGCTGGCGTTTGGCTTGCTGCGGTTGTGCATGTGCCGTCCCTTCTTCACTCACACGCTTGGCATTTTCTCTGTGTCTTTCTGCACTGCAGGGCGAGGGAGGCACGTCAGGCTCAAGCCTTCTCCTATGCTGGTCCACTGCGCGATGAGGGCGGTCTCCACTGAGTGGTTGGTGGTCAGTGCCGCACGTCTCTCACTTGTGGTCATATTGATACTGTTTCGTTCTGGGGTTGGGCGCTCGGTGTACTTCCATGTGCTGGTCTTGGCTTGCAATTGTTGTGAATGTGTCGGGTCATCCTCATCCGCGTGCTTGGCAATTTGCTGGTCCTTCTGTTCCAGGGCATGGGAGGCACGCCGAGCTTAGGCCATCCCCCTGCACACCACGTCGTTCACCTGCTTCCATGAGGAGCAACGATAGGGGTGGACTGGCACAGGGGGGGAAACATCGACCTGGAATCGGCGATACATCGCCGATAGATCGGCGATAGACCCCCGATAGTGAACCCGCACCTTCCTGGGCGGCTTGGGGCTATCGGGCCCCTATCGGCGATCAGTGGGCGATTGGGGGCCGATGCATCCCCCCCTATGCCCATCCCCCCCTTATCGTCGCCCCCGACCCCTTTGCTGGCCATCGCTCGGACGTCCATGTCCTGTGTTTTTTTTGGTTTCGTGCGTGGTTTTTTTCGCAAAATGATCAAGGATGCTTCTCGACGATCCTCTCCGAAGGAAAAATGCACACGTTTGAGCGATGCCAAGCCCCTGCACACCACGTCTTTCACCTCCTCCCCGTGCGCGCTCCTCACGGATGTGTCCTCGCCGGGGGTGGCGGCGCCAGGCCGACTTCAAACGGCGGCCCGTCGGCATGTTTTCTCGGCCGCAGTGCCGCCATGGGCTCGCGTGTTCCAGTTTGGCGTTTGGCGGTTGGTGGCACAACGTTGCTCTCCTACTTCGTGGTGCTCCTCTTCCTCTCCGACGTCGACCTGGTCAAGTGGCGCGTCCTCTCCCGCAGCACGTGAGGCCGGTGTTCTCGAAGCGCCGCTGACGGCTACACCTCCGGCCTTTTCTCCTCCCAGGACTTCACCACTGGGCTCCTGTCCAAGGTGTACCTTTTCCTGCACGTCCCGTTCGGCACCGCCTGATCCCCGGGCTTCGCCCGCCCCTGGCAGCGTGAGGCCCCGCCTGCTCCCGCCCGTTCTCTGCCAATTAAAGCTGTGCGCGTCCCGCGTCGCTTCCAGCGGAAAAGGTTCGCTCTCGCCCTACAGATAAAAAAAAATATCTTAGGCGTTTCGACATTGGGCGGAAAGAGGGGGGGTGGGGGGTCTGGCTCCGGACCTCTGCTCAGTGCGACTGTTTGGGACCGTGCGCCCTCTGGAGGAGGCTCCACCTGGTCGAACCAGGCGCGAAAAACAGCCAAGATCCACTCCAGGGGGGGGAACGGGGGGGTACGAGGGCCCGCGCCGATCGGCAAAACGAGGAGAAAAAACAAAAACGATCACAAGATGTTGTTCGGGTTTGGCACGCTGGTGATACAACTACGCGTTGGATTGGCTTTGTTTGGGGTCTCCCTGTACGGCATGGCGTTCCCAGCGGAGTGAATGAAAATGGTCATACGTGGAGGTACTCAGGCCGGCATCCGCGCGATTCGTCCAGCTCCTGCGTCTTCGTCATGCTGGCCTTCATCTTGCAGCAAAGAGGTCAGGCTCAGCGCGTTCCTCTTTCAATCGCGACATGATGGCAGAAGCCCCAAAAACCATCCCTCCCGCTCAAGGATCGACGACAAAAAACACATGGCATCCGACGTCGTATGTTTCGCAACGTCGACCCCACGTGGCCTGGACCTATTCTCGGGGAGACGTGTTCCTCCTCATCCTCCTCCTCCTTCTCCTATCCACGACGAGCGGAGGTGTGCCGAGACTGTCTGGCTGGCCGCGGCCGATGCCAATGGCTCGAATCGGAGTCGCGGCCCCGGCCGGCGAATCGAGTCGCACCGGCTCGGATCGCTGGCGGCCCCGATTGCCCCATCGGCGGCAAACATACCATCACCACCATCAGCCGGCGGCTCCGAAGGGTGCAGTTTGCCAAGGGTGTGGCTTGCAATCCACACCCTGGGGAGCATCAAGAGAGTTCTCCGCCGCGCCCCGACGAAGGCAACGCGGTGCCCCCCCGGACCCCCGCGACGCAGATCGGAAACCACACCCCGGCGTAACCATATCCTTTGTAGTCGCTGCACCCAGTCTCCACCATCCGCTCGGCCCCGCCGCCGCCCCTCCCATCCCGCAGCCGCGCGCGCGCCCCAGGCACGCCGCTGCGGCCCCGTCCTTCCGTCTACACGCAGGAGTGACCCTGGGCAGGGGTGGCCCCTGGCGCGCGGCTTCAAGGGGCCACGGGGACGCCGAATCCAAGCGCACAGGCCAGTACTGGGGGGAACTTCTGTGGGCCCGCACAACACTTCACTGAGGAAAGAGTTTACTATTACGCATCGCATATGTGTAGGTCGGGCGTGTCCCCTTACAGGCGGATTTGCGGCGAAACAAATATTCAAAAATACTCCCAAATAGCCAAAACATGATCAAAACATAGTCCCCATACGATTGTTCGACTTTGTTTTGAATATTCCTCCTGTAGAGGGGCAGGCCAGACTTAGCCTATGTTTACCGTCCCAGGGTCCGGCGAGGGCACCTGTAGGCGGGAAGCAGCCCCCGAAACCGCCCGCTGCGATACACATACGTATTCGAGACGAGGATCGAGGCGGGGGCGTGTCGAGAGCCGTCACCACCACCAATCCCTAACATCCGACGTAGCTGGAGAATCTGCCGACCCTGTCGGCGTGTGTGAAACGTGTTTCCGTTTGAGTCGTCGTCCCCATCGCCGCTCCCGCCCTTGCCCTGGGCCCCCCCTGAGCGATCCAGCCAAACGAAAATCAAACAACGTCGTATTTGAATCGACGAGAAGCCCCTTCCTTTTGATCCCTGGCCTGTCGGGGAAAAGGGGGTTCCCTGGGGGGGTCCCGGAAGTGGTCCCGGGGGGGATCCCAGGGATACCGCGAGGGTCGTGACCTCACTCTGTGGAGGTCCCCCTATGGACAAATGGGACACACGGGTGGTCTTCTCCATGTGGACAGGGGGAACTCAGAGCCCCTTCCCCCGCTTCCCACGTGGACAAAGCAACCCTCCTCCCGATCCCCTCCTCCGGACCCCCCTCCCCCGGAGGCACCCTCCTCACTCACCTTTGCTCTTACGGGGTGCTGCGTATTGCACTACATGCCTCCAGAATGCCGCAGATCCGCTTCGAGGCGGCTCCAAATGACCACGGAGCTTCCCAAAAAGTCCCGTAAGAGGCCCCCTCAACAGAGCCCAAGAGCCCCCAAGAGAGCCCCAAGAAGAGCTTCAGAGCGTCAGCGTCGTCGTCGTCGTCACCGCCCCCGCCCCTGGCCCCGCCGCCGCCGCCACCGTCGTCGTCGTCGTCGTTGTCGGCGTCGCCGTCGTCCCCCTTCAGGGTCGGCGGCACTGGCCGTCAGGCCTTCCAAATACCACATCGTGAAATTCTGCGACCAGAGACCTGGACCTCATCTTTCTGCGCCCCTCCTCTGAGCCCCATTCAGGACCTCAGGGGGACCCAGGCAGGATCCCGATCGGCTACACACACGGAGTGAGCCCTCTAGGCTAAGGTCGGGCATGTCCCCCTACAGGCGGATTCTGGGCGAAAATTTAATGCCCCAAACTAGTCAAATCGTACTCCAAAAATTGTCCCCCGAGTATGTTTCGACTACTTTTGAATATTCCTCCTGTAGAGGGATATGCCCGACGTAACTCTAGGCACGAGTGGCCTTCGGCGCGCGGCTGTCGGCAGACAATCGTCATGTTGTCCATGTCCCAGGTCGTTCGCAGAGAATGTCGGATCATGGCTGGGGCACCTCTGGAACGCTCTCGACGAGACGACTGCTGGAAGACACCCCGAAGCTGGACAACCGCCGAAATCCGGCGAGAACGCCCGACAACCTCGGACCTCGACCTTCGATCCGTTCCCCTGCGTCCAGGAAGGAGGAAGGAGGGAGGAGGGAGGAAGGAGAAAGGAGAGAGGATGGAGGAGGAGGGAGGGCGGAGGGGGGCGCGAAAACGCGCCAGGCGCGCCAGGCACGCCGCCGCGGCCCACGGCGGCGCCCCGCAAGACGCCGCCCGCGCGGCGGTCGGCAGCCTGCGAGCGCGGGACAAAATAAAGGGTGGGGATGAGGGGGAGGCCAAAAGGCGGGGAGGCTCCCCCTCCTCCTCCTCCTCGTCCTCCTCCTCCTCCTCTTCCTCCTCCTCCTCTTCCTCCGCCTCTTCCTCCTCCTCCTCCTCTTCCTCTTCCTCCGCCTCCTCCTCCTCCTCTTCCTCCCCCTCTTCCTCTTCCTCCTCCTGCTCCTCCTCCTCCTCCGCCTCCTCGTCCTCCTCCTCATCCTCTTCCTCATCA